TCCGCCCGTTGAAGGGGAGCATTGAATGGAATATGAAGCGACTTCGCGCCCGAGGGTCGCATTTTGTTGCTTGTCGATTCCTTTGTGAGGTAGGAACCCCAGTCCTCCCCAAGCAAACTGGTAGCAGAGCAGGGATTAGCCCAATGCTCAGGATGAGATGGATGCTGAAAAAGATGGCTTCGACTCTGTGAACACCAGGCTAAGGGCTAGGCAACTCCACTATATTCGCTGATTTCAATGGATCGATGGCTCACAGTTTTTGCACCTAACTTCCTAGTGGAAGGATGTCACTGTGTGTCTGTGTGTCTGTGTGTGTCTGTGTGTGTCTGTGTGTCTGTGTGTCTGTGTGTCTGCGTGTCTGTGTGTCTGTGTGTCTGTGTGTCTGTGTGTCTGTGTGTCTGTGTGTCTGCGTGTCTGTGTCTTCGTGTTCGTGTGCGTGTGTGTCTCGTTGACTTTGTTTTTTAGGATTGATTGCGTTGATGTTTCCACGATTGCGCACCTTTTGCAAACGCAACAACCTGTTTTGTTCAATTCACACGCACTGCGTGCGCACGGTCATTCCCAGCTTCACTGGCGCACACCATGCTTGCGGGTTGCCCAACTTCTCTAGTTGGTCGGATGCAATGTTCGACACTGCCAGGAGTAAGTGTTGACAAAACCCCACAGCCATCGGCTTGTGCTCTCTGAGGCCAAAGCAGGCTGCCACCAAGGACAGGGAAACGAAACTTAAAAAAAAAAAAAAAAAAAAAAAAAAAAACGGCTGGTTTTGCGGGTTCTTCAAAAAGACAGGGGAAAACCACAGTTTTGTTTTCGGCCTGGGGTTCCATGAGACTAACTATGAGGTGTACTCCTTGGCTGCACAGCAATTTAAGCGAATCAGGTTAGCTGGATGTACGCACCCTCGGTATGAACCGCTAGTCTATGGCTGTAACTACGAGTTCAGTGCGGAAGACTGGAGGAACCCGACACCAACGGAGCCCATCATATGGGCTTTGAGAGTGTTTGTCCACATTGGAATCGAATCGAAGCCTTAAACTCTTGCCGGGAAGCCCAACAGCCAAGAGCTGCCTGATTCCGTGAGTAATAAGCGCACCCTGCCTGAGGCTGAACTTTACTCCCCTAGCCAGTTTCACTCTTTTCAGTATGTAATGGGCCATTACATACTGAAAAGAGTGAAACAGGTTGTTTTCGATTTGACCTGAAGGTCAAACTTACCCAGGACCCAGGTTGAGAGTGAAATTCGAAGCTTCAAGCCTGCCCGCTCCATGTTTCTTAGGGTTGCAGGTGTTGCTCCTGTCAATGTGCGCTGTGTTCCTTGTTTTGTCATGGTTGTGGGTCCCATTTTCGGACATTTGGTCAGCTTCACTTCAGTCCAGGTGGTTGCTTTGCTGGTTCCTTTGTGACTTGCGTATTTTGAGACATGGGGATTTGGACCTCCCAGCATGGCAGCATGGCATCGGTTTTCCTTTTGGCTTTCCTTACATCCAAGCTAGATAAGTTAGATAAGGTACCCTCCAACACACACACACACAAAAAAAAAAGAAGAAGAGAGAGGGCGCACACACACACACACTGATCAAAAACTCGATGCTTCTAAACTCTATGAGTTCTCCTTGTCAGTGCTTGGCACCGAACTTGTACATGAGATCTAAAGCGGTAGGCTTGGTGGCGTTCCCAGTCAACAGGCCCCGAGTTTTCACTGTTTCACCCGCGAAGGAGCCGGACAAGCAGACGTCTGAGTCCATGAAGCGCCTGGGCAAAGGGAAGCGGTACCTTTCTATGGGTTGACCGTCAGACCTGGTAAATGGAAACATGGAAACCAAAACCTGCGGTTGGTTGTTCGATTTTGATAGCCATATGCTAAAAATGCTTGTCGCTTTCTTGTTGAAAGGACTTTTGTGGTTGTTTAGCTCTGTGCGATGATACTGAAGGCATCGACCTTTTGGAGGGTCACTGAGTCACTGGTCGTTTCAGCCACGGACGTAGGGCGTAGAGCCTCTCATCCTTGAAGCCGCGCGGGGCTCCACCGGGTTGAACATGGGCTTAGCGCCACGATGGCATTGCAAAGAGCCCCAATATGGAAGCCCGAGACACGAGCTGGTTCCATTTGAGGGGTCATTTCTGTCCGGGCTTATTGGGCAGAGCTCAGGTGAGGAAGCGATGCCGCGAAGGAAAGCCAGCCGGCAATGGAAGAACACGCAACACAGACGAGCACAAATACCTGAACATACAACACATCACACAACACACAACAAACAAATCAAGCAGCACAACAAGGAGAACCAAATCAACTTCTCCCACATTTCCGTCTCTCCCGAAGCTCGGAAGCTTTTTCAAGACGAGGCCAGTGCCGCCGTCTGGGCCGAAGCCCACAGGAAGCAGCAGCTTCTCCTTTTGGAAGGCTTCGCCTGGGTGGGTGGGTGGGTGGGTGCGTGGAGGTTTGGCGTCTCTAGCCCGAGGGTTACACAAAACGGGGTTTGGGTTTCAACTCCAGAGGGTTTCCAAACTCATGAAAGGGCACCCACTTTTCAGAGATTCCCCATCTGAAGTGCCGTTTCATGGATTATGGCTGCGAAATCCCAACCTCTGGCACCTTGTACATTTCTACATGATCGGGCTAGTCACTTCAGGAACCCTGCCAAGCCTCCCGACCTCACGAGGCGAGTGCCGGAGTGGCCTGGGGGCGTCTTTTGGGGGGGTTGTAAGGTCCCTGATAAATCCCTTGTAGTCTTTTGCACCCGTTGCTAACTCGCCAGGGACAGGACGCCCCGACCCTCAGGCACCAGTCAATCAGAAGGTTCCTTCTCAGCCTGGGATTCGCTTCCTCCCCGTCTTGAGGTTCACTGATTCACTGCGTTTGCGCCGAGATCTCATACACGTTCTTTTATTAGAGGCAAACGCTGACGGGGCGTAAAAATTGGGACTTGGATGACTTGGATCCAGGTGTTTTGATCCTGTGGGAAATCAAGGGACTCAGTGGCAACTCTTTTGAGCTGCATTTTCCAAACGAGGAAAGCCCAGGTAAATTCTTGGGATCGGTCTGAAGGCCTTCAGGTCTGCGACAACAGACAAGCTGCGACTAAGAAAACCCGAAAGGAGAGCAGGGGCTCGGAAAGGCGGTGAGAGGAAAGAAAGACATTGAGGACCATTGGTGAATGTGTGTGTGTGAGTGTTTGTGTGTGTGTGGGTTTGTTGGGAGTTTTTGTTTGGTGCGTGTGTCTCTTCGAGTGTGTCTCTAGGTGTCTTCGTGTGTGTGTGTGTGTGCCCGCGTGTTTCTAAGTGTGTTCCTGTGTGTGTGTGTGTGTGAGTGTGTGTGTGTGTGAGTGTTTGTGCGTGTGTGGGTTTGTTGGGAGTTTTTGTTTGGTGTGTGTGTCTCTTCGAGTGTGTCTCTAGGTGTCTTCGTGTGTGTGTGTGCCCGCGTGTTTCTAAGTGTGTTCCTGTGTGTGTGTGTGTGTGTGTGTGTGTGTGTGTGTGTGTGTGTGTGTGTGTGTGTGTGTGTGTGTGTGTGTGTGTGTGTGTGTGTGTGGGTTTGTTGGGAGTTTTTGTTTGGTGCGTGTGTCTCTTCGAGTGTGTCTCTAGGTGTCTTCATGTGTGTGCGCCCGCGTGTTTCTAAGTGTGTTCCTGTGTGTGTGTGTGTGTGTGTGTGTGTGTGTGTGTGTGTGTGTGTGTGTGTGTGTGTGCGTCCAACCTGGTTGTCTACCACGAAAGCAGCGCAGGAGGGCAGGCAGCACTGAAGCGACCGGTATGCTTAGGTGTTTGTGTGGGGGCTGATTTGGTTTGCTCGCTGGCAGAATTGCTTGGTCTTTGGATTGCTTTTGCTTTGCTTTGCTTTGCTTTGCTTACCTTTGCCTCGCTTTTTTTGTCGCCTTGCCTTGCCTTGCGTTGCTTGTTTGCTGGGTGTTGTTGGGTTATGTTTGGGGCTTTGAATGCGTTTGATTTGGTTGGTCTGGCGACTGCTTGCTGGCTTGCACGCCGTGTTGTTCTAACTGTCACTTTGTCGTTACTCCTGCCTCAACGTCCTTTTCTGCTTCTGTCTTCTGTCTCTGTTGCTGTTTGTGTTTTGTTCCATCTTCGCTCTCTCCGTGTCCGTTTGTCTCTACCTCTTTCGCAGTCCCTGTCTCAGTCTCCGCGTCTAGTTCCGTCTCTGTCAACTTTTGGTTGCCTGATTTTATGTGAACCAACCGTGCGCCAACTATATTTGTTTCCAATCGGGCCGTCGCAGACCCTTGAGGGATTGAAAACTAGGCTAGGGAGGCTCACAACCAGGAAAACCCATTTCCGTTTTTTTGCGAGAAGGGCTGCAGACTGCAAACTAGCCACTGGGGGCTCCCAAATTTCCGGAAACGCAGCCATGCTTTCAAAATTTATTGACTGAGAGCTTTGCATACGTTGCAGACTTGTTAAGCTTGCTTTGAGCTTGCTGAGGACAAGTTTGTTTTGTTTCAAAGCCAGATTCGGCTCTATTTTGCTTTTTGTTGGATGGAGTCCCCTCCAAAATCAACCAAGAAAGGGCTCCAAGTGCCATGTGTGTTTTTGCCCTGGCTCCCTGGCCACTGTGTCTGAATGACACATTCCTTCCCTGGTTTGCTTCGCCAGAATCGCTTGGGCTGGAGCAAGCCGAAGCAACTTGGTGCCGGATCAGAGTGAAACTGAGACGGTCCAATGAGCAGAGGGCACAACAACTAGGTCCCCCAGTAGTGCCCTTTCTCGCCCCTTTTTTGGGGGAGGGTTCCCCTACTTAAATAGACTACAGAAAAAAGGATACCCTATTCTAACCTCTCTACTTGAGGACCTAGACAAACATGACTCTGGCTTAGTCATCCCCTTTGCTTACCCACTTAATTATCTCGGTTGTTCCAGAAGTCAGTGGAAAACCCACGGGACCCACCTGAAGTCTCAATCTCAAGACTTTCAGCTCCGGCCATTTGGGTTATGTGCGTCAAAATTGGGGAACCCCAAACAAATGGGCGGCTTCCTCTTGGTGTCCCTTTAAAGTAATCCCAAAGAGTACCCCAAGAAACAGACACCCAAATGGAAGGGCGGCTCCTTTTACAGATGTCCGCAGGAGCTGCACATTTGTTCGGAGTGTTTGCAACACTCCGTTGTGAATACATGTCCTCAATTTCAAGACCACCTTTTGCATGTTATGTTAAGGGAACCAAACAGGAACCAAGTTAGGACTCCAGGAAGCACCCAGGTTTCATGACCAGACCTCACGTGACTTCATGCCATCCTGAGTCTCGAGCCCGCGCCTGCCATCCCTCAGAAATTGGTAGGGCCTTTCAGCGGTTGACTCTCTGTGCTTCCCAGACTTGCCTTGCTGGTGCTCAGCAGGGAATGAAGGAATGAACGTGGGGATTCCCTTAACGGAAACCATAGGGGATTGTTTATAGGGTCATTCCCTTTCTTTTTTTGGCTGAGCACCAGCATCTTGAATTCCAGTCGTTCCGAAAGGTACCTTCCGTTTCCAGGGCAAGTGAGCAGTCGACCAGATTCCGCAGCATGAGTACTTTACTTCCCGGGAAGAACGACCCTGTCAACTTTTGACGTTTGGCACCATCTGAATCTGCCGTTTGAGCTTTTAGCCGACTCTAAGCTAGTTGATTAGTTGACTATGAGGCTGTGTGACCCATGTCCTCTTCAAGCCAGTTTGTTTGACAAGATTGAACATCGACGGCGCTGGTTCCAATTTTGCTCTAAACACTTGCAAGTGCCATCAATTTGTCCAAATGGGCACCCAGGGACCTGGTTGCCTCATCCTGCCTGACCCGACTGTTCGGTTAAGATTCCTTTCACGTGAAGCGTGGAAACACGTCCTTTCACTGCTGACTTGTGTCTTATTTCTCCATTTGATCCAACATGCAGAATCTACTGTGCCTGGAACAAACAAAAGCACGTCCATGGCTTTGAATTTCATCACTCACCCCCCACACGCCCGTGTTGTTCAACTTGAGAATCCGTGGCTGAGTTCAGGTTGGTGAACACGCTTGGGTGGGCCAACCCTCCCGTGCCGCCGTTTTTTTGTTTTTTTTTGTCCCTGGGAGATCTGCCAACGAGGCCACCCACCCTTCTTTTCGGAGGCAAGCAATGCGTTCTTAAACTAACGTTGCGCGGAACGCTGAGGCCGGAGGAGGCTGGACCACTGGAGTTGGGGGGATGGCGAGGGTCGACTTCCTGGGAAATCGGTTGTCGGAACTTACGACATGGTCAAGGCTAGATGTGCGACTGAGTTTAACCATTTCAAGTTTCACCCTCGTGGACTCCCCGCGTGTTGGGGATATCACCGAGGGCAATGCACAAGGAAAGTCACCATGAGTAAGTCTAGCCCCCAAGATTCTGAGCGGGGTGTTACCAAGGGCAATCGGAACAGATATTGCACAGAACATGGGCAAAGATGTTGCAGGTACGAGTTCTTGACGTCAAGTTTGGGTTTCCGCCCAGCCCAAACAATTTGCGAATTCCGGCGCTGCTGTGAGTGGGGGGCGGTGTGGTGGCATTGTTTGTTTGAAAAGGCGGTCAATCATTTGATTGCTGGGTCCACACTTGAGGTTCTTTAGCTGTTTTTAGTGGTCCCTCTATTTTAAGACATACCAATTTGAACCTCCTTCAAGCACGTCAGGAGCGGCCAATGAGTCATCAGATCAATCTATTGGGTGCTTTTTGGACTGTAACACAAGGGACCGAGCTATTACATACATGTTGATTTTATGATAAGGACCTTATGTTGTTTTTAAGTTCTTCACGACCACATGCTGCCCATGCTGTTATTTCAGCCCTTCTAGTACACTTGAGTTGAAGACTGGCAAAGTTGCAGTTATTGGCAAACATTGGATCTTGGTGAATTATAGGGACACTGGACGGGATGTGGATCCTCCCCCATGATTCTGTTCCAGCCTGGATTGTTCAGGTGATGTTGATCGATATGTTGTTCAGCCCACCAATCAGGCAAACCGGTTCCTCAATTTGTGGTTTGAGTTGGCAGTTTGGAGGCTCCCATCTGAGGTCAATCGGGCAACCCAAACCGAAGCTGAAGGGAGCTGGGGCATCTCCGCTCAAACTTGGCATCTGAGGGACATCCTAGGAAGAAACACTTAGGAAAATAGCAATATAAGCGTCACAAGGTAGTATTTACAGGCATGTGTTCTTCGAAAGGTTCCCTTAGCTTAAAACTCTTGAAAGGGCCATGTTTAAAATCGAGCTTGCAAGCGATGTTGTGCAATGCCCATCAATTGCCGAAATACTCTTTTAGGGGCGTAGCGTGCTACATTGTTTGGATGAGTGCTTTTAGTACCCGCGAAATCGCGTAAATACGCAACTACCCTAAAGTATCCTTAAGTACCCTGAAGTACCATTACAATACTCTGAAGTACCAAACACTCCTTAAATACAACCCAAAATGTTTGCCCTCGTTGAATACACTTAGCAATGCTCAGGTGCTTGATCACCTGAGGGTCGCACGCCCTCTTTAGGTCGACTCAATCGGTGCAGGCTGTGAAATGATATCGGAAGGCTGGGACCTCAGGAATCGGAATCGCTGTCCGTTTTGGTCACGAGTCGTTGAGCATGCCCTTGGCCTAGCTAACCTTCGGTTGTGAAGAGGGGTTGATTACCGTCGGTCAGAGTTGAGCAAGGGAAGGCTTGAAAACAACGTTGGGGAAGCTCCGTGAGATATGGGCTTGTTTTTGTTTGAGGGAACCGTTTTTGGGGGTGGTTCAGACGGAAACCAATTGGATAACCACCATTTCCCTATTTTAATACACACCCATTCTGGGTTCTTATGTGTGTTTCTTGCAACAACAAAACAGAGTCTTCCTTTTGGTTTCCCTTTAGCTACCAACCAAAAGAGGGTTCAACACTCTGAGAAACCTCCCATTAGATGCCCAGTCGCCCAAGACTGGTTTTTCTCTTGGAGGGAGGAACAAACGCGTCGCAGTGGTTTTCCCATGTGGAAAGATTGGAAAGTATCTTATTTTACAGCAACTCACCCAAAAAGTGTGTCTCTTTTTTGTTTTGCCCCGCGCTCTGGGCAAGTAGGCGATGGGCTTTTGGGCTCGCCGAGGTCTGCCAGAGATACGGATTCTTTCAGAAGGGCCTTCCCCGGAACGAACGGATTAGCTGATTGACAGGAGACCCGTGGACTTACTGGACCCTTTTGTGCACGTTTTTTTTTTGGTCCAACCATGTGGGGTGTGCCATGCCAAAGGTAAAAAAGCTTTGGATTATCGTCCAATTCCGACATCCAGAGGGCTGATCCGTTTCAGATCAGCGCCGCCAGGATGGTGGCCAAGCGCAGGCCATTTGGCAGCCATGTTTTGATGTCAGGGATTCTGCCTGGCTATGTTGAAACAAGAGCTTCATACCCCTCCATTGGCTTTCTCTTCAAACGGTACGTCCCCCCAACAGTGTCCCTCGTTTATTTTACACGCAGCAATACGAACCTTGGGGGAGAACAACAACCTCTTGACAGAACACGTCGGTAGGCACTGTGAGACCATGCACGATCCCTTTGGGCAATCCCAAAAGACATCCCCAGCCTCGCGATTTGACCGAGGTGCCGGTGGACGGTCGTTATTATCGACACCGGATGAAGCTGCGGAAGAGGCAGTCGTGAGGGTCCCCGAAAAACAAATGAACAAATATATTTAACAAAAAATAGAAAAGAAAAACAAACACGTCAACACCATGTTGTGTTGCATCACTCCCAACAGCTCTTTTTATGTCTCCGAGGATCTATGCCTTGGGGCCCATAGGCGTTGAGTCTCAAGGCCGTGCTGGCCTTCCGCCAAAGAGCCTCACTTCGGAGACGTTTTTTTTTTTTGCCTCTGAGCAATTCGGTGACTTTAAAGAGGGTGCCTTTCTCGGGCTGGCCGGGTTTCCAAACGGCTTCCGCGTTTTGTCTCGTGCCAAAAGGCTCGTGCCCGGGAAGGGCGATCCCTACACTCACCTCCGTCTCCAAAAGGAGGGGAGGGCCAGTCTAACCGCGACTCTGTCGCGGTTGATTTGTTTCATCAAGTCTCAAGGCCGGCATGGAGGGCGTTCTGCCAGCATGTTTGGTTCATGGTGTGCATAGTGAGTCTTTGGATTCTGTTGCGGTTGCGGTTCCTTATAAGCTGCTAGCAAACATGCTAGTAGTCTTTTGGGCAAGGCTTTGAAAGGCGTTTCAGGGAAGATCCTGCAAGACATTGATGATCCCTCCTTGAAACAGAGGATTGCATCCCGAGTTTTATGGCCTTGTTTGCAGCGTTACTCAAGATATGAGAGTCAATGAAAGTGACTTGACCAACTCAGCAGTGGAGTTTTGGACAATAACCTTCTAAGGATGCTTCACAGTTCGACGCTCACATTGCTGAGACATTGGGGGCTCTGCCCAGACAGGTTGTCAGATCCCTTCCAAGAACCTTTTTCCATGTGTTCATGCAGGAAGCTCTGACCATGCGGCATGCACAAGGCGCGAAAATTTCGCGGCCCTCCGCAAGTTTGGCAGTGGCTGAATTCGAGGCGTTCCCTCTGTCCTAACTAAGTTTAGGATAGCATAAACAAGCCAAGCATGTCTTTGAATGTCTTTGTCGGTTGATGCTTTGATATTTGTTTGTATGTGGGCATGCACAAATTGCTGTGATTGTGTTCCAACAACACTATATCCGACTGAATGTAAGTAATGCACATTGGCAGGGTAGCTGAGCTAACGAACGGTGACATTTGACAGACGTTTACAGGGCTGCAAGCCAACTCAGTAGCAAAGGTCAAACAATGTAAGCTCACCAGAAGGCATTGACAATGTCACAAGAGCTTCACATCCCTTATCCAACTAGGTCCCCCAGTAGTGCCCTTTTACCCTTTTTGGGGGGAGGGTTCCCTACTAAAATAGACTACAGCAGAAAGGGTACCCGTATTCTAACCTCTCTACTGGAGGACCTCGTCAAAGGTTCTGGAGTTCTGCTGCTGATTCACAATCAACGCAACCCTGCGAGCAACTGACAATTTGCTTGGAACTTGGGGCGGACACGGGCCATCCAGCTTCCCGTGAGAGAGGCACCTTTGAAGACACGGGTGATTTTAACCGGCCGCTTTGTGAGGGCCCCTTTTGTGTGTTTTCTTTTGAAGGGGAACCGGAGGGCAACCCATTGGCGAGAAACCTTGTGCTGTAGAAAACGATCCCTAAGAGGTTTTTCAGGTTGCTGTTCAGAACCAGTTTCAGTTGCACACCTCGGAGTGTGGCAAGTATCCCACAGAATGAGATTTGTCAGAGGACAGGCTGATGCTCTAGCTGCTAAGACAACAGCTGCGATGGGGGACAAAGCTGCGGTGGGGGCATGCTGATGGCAAGGCGGACCATGGCACAAGTGGGCATAGATCAAGGGTCATCATTTTGAGAGTGTTTGGGGATTATGAAGATCAGTAACCGTATTTGTTTCCCTGTAACCTTTCACTTTGGGGGGTGACTTTGATGGTAACATACTGAAGCCGGATGTATCCTCCGCAAAAAGACATCAAGCCTCTAAGCTTCAGGCCGGGCGAAGATCTCGTGCACGTTACATGTCAAACCTAGGCACCCCTTCAAATGATTGGTCTCATGTGACTTTGCTTTCCACATGATCCAAAGAGGGGTCCACAGATGACAAAACACACAGACACGCATGTACACATATATACACAAGTACACGGATACACAGATACACAGATACACATTCACACACACACACATACGAGCATACTCCCATATACACGCATACATATATATATATAGACGCAACGACCTACAGTCCTGCACACTTACGTACACCACACACATACACACGCACACCTGCATGCGAAAGCGCACAGACACACACACAAACACAAACACAAGAAACACAAACATAAACACACACACAAGCACAAACACAAACACAAACACAAAAACACAAACACGCACACCCATACACACCCACACCCACACAGACACACACACACACACCCACCCACCCACCCACCCACCCACCCACCCACCCACCCACCCACCCACGCACGCACGCACGCACGCACGCACGCACGCACGCACGCACGCACGCACGCACGCACGCACGCACGCACACACGCACACGCGAGCGAGCGTGCGCACGCGCACGCACACGCACACACGCACACGCACACGCACACCCACACCCACACACACACACACACCCACACGCACACGCACACGCACACGCACGCACGCGCACGCGCACGCGCACGCGCACGCGCACGCGCGCACGCGCACACGCGCGCACGCGCGCACACGCACACACGCACACACGCACACACACGCACACACGCGCACACACGCACACACGCACACACGCACACACGCACATAGGCACACACACACACGCACACACACACACCCACGCACGCACACACACACACACACACACCCACACACACCCACGCACGCACGCACGCACGCACGCGCGCGCGCACGCACGCACGCACGCACGCACGCACGCACGCACGCACGCACACACGCACGCACGCACGCACGCACGCACGCACGCACGCACGCACGCACACACGCACACACGCACACACGCACACACGCACACACGCACGCGCACACTCGCACACACACACACACAAACACACAAACACACACACGCACACAAGCGCATGCACAAACAAACAAACAAACAAGCAAGCAAGCAAACAAGTAAGCAAGCAAGCAATAAACCACACATACACACACCTATGATTCCACAAAGATGCCCGCACACACACGCACGCAGGCGCGCGCACACGCATTCACGCGAACTCATACGAGAATACAAGCGCGTAAGTACACACACACACAAAAGACGTGCGCACATGTTCATGGTTTGTTGGCTGCATAGTGTAAGCTGTCCACATGACCAGGTCGGCCCAAGCCACCGCGTGTTTTGCTGGCTGAAAGCCTGGACGCCAATAGCGAAAGCCGTTGGATACCAACATAATTCGGCGCAGTGTCAAGTGACGCCGGCGGCTCTGTCATGTCTCAAGTTGAAAAGGGTGCTTGCCACGGACTCTGAAATGGCTATCACGGGTAATTTCTTGTTTGAAGGGACTTTGCGACGGTTTTTTGTTTAATAAGAACGTATATATATATATATATATACATGTACACATATATATATATAATCCTGTCTACCAAATCACTCCATGGTTGGTTATATATATACAATGCAAGGTACTTGGTTGTTTGAAGGGACTCGCTTTGAATGGCATTTTCAAGGACAAGGAGACAACACAGTTTGTTTGGGGTCCAAGCACCAAAGGGTGGGCGCTTTAGTTCGTCTATGGGCTGTGTGTTTGTTTTGTGTTGTTTTGTTTTGTTTGTTTGTTTGTTTGTTTGTTCGTTTGTTTGTTTGTTCGTTTTGAAAAGGGTGCGCAAGCAAGGGTGTGTGTGTGTTTTTTTTGGGGTACCCCTTTTCCAGGGCGGTTGTAAAGGGAACCGAGAGGACACCATCAACTTTACACATACGCGACTGATGCACCCTTCATGATTGCAA